CAGGATCATCTCATCTATCCAGAATAATTACGGTGCCGGGGTCTACTTCAACCCACTGATCATGTGTGAGGGGAAGGTGAGTGCCTTCAGGACTTGGCCTTAACTGGGTGGTTGTAATTTGGGGGTGGAATCCCAGTAAAATAAGTATGTCCACATTCTCAGGAAACAGCCACACCTCATCCAGCTTTCTTAAACCCAGGCATAGACACGCCTGGAGTCTTCATCTGCCATTGGCTGTGACTGTGACTTGACCTCATCTTCCCTTTTGACCTTTGGCCAAGTAGTTGTCATGTTTTAATCTGTTGGCCACACTGCTTTAGTTGGAGTCTTGGGTAGGGATTCACACCTTGAGGACTGCTGTCTGGGAAGTATGGAGAAATAGTGGGACCACTGAGGACCAGGATAAAGAGTGGTGTCATCTAGGAAGAGGACCAGGTACTACAGGGAGTGAAGAGAGTGTTGGGTGTCTGGGAGTGTGCGCTGTCACCTGATGGAAGAGAAGTTTTTGGTGTCAGCAGGTGGGTAGGATTTGGGAGTTGCATGTCAGAGGGCAGATAGAATGTTTAGATCCCCCCAAAATAGGTTATCTTATGTCAGAGACCTTACCTGCTATGACACTTCAGGCACTAGCGGTACAGCTTAGTGACAGTAATTACCTGGGTCCTGGGTTTGAACCCCAGCATGAGAAGGGGATCAAACTAAATGAAGCATCCTAGTTTCTTAGAGGGCTGCTGGAGAGGTGGGGGCTAGGAGTCAAGGATGGCCTGTGGGTTTGCCTGTGCCAGTACTAATGCCAGTTGCTTAGGGCAGTCTAACCTTTACAGTTGTGTGAGTCTCCTGGGGACTGTGTTAAAAATGTAGGTCCAGAGTCAGTTAGTCTGGGATGGAACCTGAGATTCTGCATATTTGATAAGCCCCCAGATACAATTGGTCAAAAGTCCAGGCCTTAAAGAGCCGAGAAGTGATTATGTGGCTGCAGTGATATAGTCATAATCTTTTTTTTCCCCAAGACTGGGTTTCTCTGTGTAGCCTTTACTGGCCTGGACTAGCTATGTAGACCAGGCTGGCCTCGAACGCATAGAGATCTGCCTGCCTCTGCCTCCCTAAGTGCTGGGATTACAGGCATGTGCTACTGTGCCTGGCCTATATTCATAATCTTAAGGTCATGCTTTAACTTTTCTTTTTTATTTTATTTTTACTATTTTTTTTTTGTTGTTGTTTTGTTTTTGAGACAGGGTTTCTGTCCTGACTGTCCTGGAACTTGCTCTGAAGACCAGTCTGGCCTCAAACTCAGAGCTCCACCTGCCTCTGCCTCCCGAGTGCTGGAAATAAAAGTGTGCACTACCGCACCCAGATATGCATTAGCTTTTCTGGTCCTTTGGGCACCTGCCTGCTCTATGCAGTGAAGGAAACCTCAGTTCAGAGAGGGATGGGACTTCATAAGGTCATGTGGCTAGTGGCAGGCCCCTGAACTTCAGGCCTGCAGTGTTCCTAGGGCCTCCTGGCTGCCACTTGTCTGAAGCAACACAGCCTTATGCTTCCTCTTTTGCTGTGCAAAACACATAGTTAGGTTCTTTCTTCATAATTAATAATCTGCCAGGCCTGTCTTTGATTAGTAATTTCCAAACAACATTATAAGCTTAAGTAACACAATGTTTGTGCATGATTGTGCGGCACGGGGGCTGTACTTTCTAACTGAAATTTGTTAGCCGCTTTTTAAATATTTACAGCCTGAGAACATAGATGTTTGCTGACACAATTGTAAGACTTAGTTAGCTGGGAGGTCCACGTTGGAGGTTTATACAAATTATTGTAGAAACGGCCTCATCCGTAATTCCATGTGCTTAGCAGTGATAAGAGGGTTTTCACCTTTGGATGTTAGTTTGTAATTGTCACCATTTGAAAGAATCAACAACACTGAAAGTCACTGTAGGGACAAGGCCAGTGAAAACTTTTAATGAAAGAGGAATGTCTAAAATTTAGTAATGCAAAGAATGTTGGAGGACCAGGCTGCAATTCTGGGGTATGATTGTTAAGCCCTTAGGGTTGTCTGTTATTTGATACACCTTGTCATCCAAGCTAGCCACAAACTACTGCTGGGTTCGAGCAGTCCAGCATTCCACCAGGCTCTGGGGTAGTAGGCCATGCATTACTGGGCCCAACTGCAAGGCCTACTAGCCATGCATTTCTGTACCCAGCTGTAGGACCTAGTCTGCTGATGTAGTATTACTGTGACGTGTCATTTACTCTCACTGGACTTCAATTTCTTTTTAAGATTTACAGTGAGTGTGTGTGTGTGTGTGTGTGTGTGTGTGTGTGTGTTTTCAGTCAGAAGACAGCTGGCAGAAATCAGTTATCTCATTCCATCTTATGGGGCCTAGGGTCAGACTCAAGTCATCAGGATTGACTGCAAGCAGCTTTACCTCCTGAGCCCTTTCACTGGCTTCTAGCACTCAGTTTCTTATTTCTCAAATGAGGAACATTACCTAAATCATCACTTCTGAAATTGGAAGGATCTAACGTTGAAGAACTCGACTAGATGGTGTCCAAGAGCCAGTTTGCCTTTAAATATCATGTGTGTTAAAATACTGGCCATCTCACTTCTTGTACCTTGGAAGCCAGGTCAGTCTTGACACTAAAATCTTTGGGCAGTTTTAATAGAGATGTGGGGTTTTTGTTGTTGTTATTGTTGTTGTTTTGTTTTATTTGGTGGCCTTTTTGTTGTTGTTGTTTTTCAAGACAGTGTTTCTCTGGATAGCCCCGCCTGTCCTGGAACTCACTCTATAGACCACTCTGCCCTCAAATGCAGAGCTCTGCCTGCCTCTGCCTGCCTCTGCCTGCCTCTGCCTCCTGAGTGCCGGGATTAAGGGCATGTGCCACCAACACCCAGTGAGCTGTGGGTTTTTGAAGGGTAGGTATTTTGAGTTGCTTAGATGAGCATCCTCTTCCTGGACAAGACCTATGGAAGCAGCAGCCTGGTGGTCTGCTCTTTGTCATGCTCAGTTCCTCTCTTGCAGCTTATCAAATATGGGGTCATCGACACTGGTGTTCTGATTGACGACCTCCTGAACTGGAATAATCTGTACATCGCTGGACGCCTCCAAAAGCCGGTGAGTCTGTGCCCCTCAGGGCACCACAGTTAGCATATCCCCTTGTCTCTGAACTTGACCTCTCTTTGATCTTTGTGAGCTCCTAGATGTGGAATTCCAGGAAATGGAAACACAGGTATAGTCGTCTTCCCCTCCATGAAGTTCATCACCCACAATGTAAGGAGATTACCCTGTGATGTCCTGCTATAAGAGGAGATGTTACGCATAACATGTACACATCTTTGTGCTTGTAATATGCATGTAAGCCACGTAGTGGGCTTTGTCCTGGCTCCTGGCAGAGAGCTCCTAAACCCTTGGAATTCCTGAATGGAACAAGGGACCCCCGGCTGTCACCATTGAGCCACACTCACAGGCTGGTGACTCCAGGTGAGCCTCTGCTTAGCTTTGGGATAGGGCTGATTACCAGAGGAAGCAACCATGGGATGAGAGGGCCCTCCTGCCCAACTCCAGGATGGAGAGGGGCTGGAGTCCAACACAGAAGGCTGCGAAATCAATCAGCCACTCAGATAACGACAGCAGGCTGGAGAGATGCCTCCGTGGCTGAGAGTACCAGCTGCTCTTCTGGAGTTCGCTTTCCAGCACCCACGTGGTTACTCACAGCCATCTGTGACTTCAGCGCCAGGGAATCCAAAGCCATCTTCTGACCTCAAGCACCAGGCACATATGTACATGCAGCTAAAACACGCGTACACATTAACGTGGCCAGAATTGTGTATTTGGGTCAGTATGACACGTGTGCCTATTACGCATTTGTGTGCATATTACACATGTATGTGCTTAAGTAAACACATAGTGGTACCTTCCCTGTGTGCTATAGTCTCTACTTCAGCTAGAACATTTGTGTGTGCTGGGCTGGAACCCAGGGCCTGGTGAAGACACTCTAGCTGTGCATCTCACCTTATCCCAGGAGAAACATTTCTAAATGTCCGTGAGCAGCAGACACACTGAAATTGTTCCATAAGTATTCATAAGAAATAATTTTATGTTTCATGGTCAGATCATTTCGGGGTCCTATAGCTAGCAAAACCCGACACTGAGGAAATTACTGCAAATGAAAGTTTGTAAGCACCCATTTTCGGTCCCACATTTTCTTCCTGTTCCTTGCTTTGTTTTTCCTTGAGCCATGGTCCTGTCGTGTTCCCCACAGTGGCTGGGTCTAAGGTCCCAAGAGTGTGAGCAGCAGGTTCTCTGCCACTGGGTGACACCACAGCCCCTTGAAGGTTGTTGGGATTTGATTTGGGTGGTTCCCCCTCCACCCCCGGGGTGGAGGGCATTACTTGTTGTTGCACGCTCTCTAGCTTGATGGGAAAGTAGTGGATGTAAAATGAGGAGCCTTAGGTCCCCCTCTGCTCTGCCACTTGTTACCTGCTTATATGAACTTACGCAGTTGGGTTTTGTCTCTACATGTCATTAAGCCCATCTGTAGAGTGGGGATAGTAATCGTGCCCTGCCTGCAAACTGGAAGCAGGGTTATATGCACAAAAGAACACAGCTTTTAGAAGCCAACACACCTAGCCTTCAGATGTCTGCTTCTCCTCTAACTGCACTGCCCCACGCCACTGACTGAGTCTCCCTCCCCTCAGGATAGTCCATCTGTGTGTGGGCATTCCGAAGTGTTTGATTTAGTGGACACTCAGAAAATGCTGTTTCCCTCCCAGTGTTCTTGGCTGTCTGTTATTTTTACATAAAAGGAGATTGAACCAAAATGTGGTAGTCTCTATATTCTGCCTGGAATACTTCCAAACTTTTTTTCAAGATTTATTTTTCATTGTATATAAATAGATGTTTTGCCTGCCTGTATGTCTGTACACCACATGCGTGCAGTGCCAGTAGAGGCCAGAAGAGGGCGTCTGATCCCCTGGAACTGGAGTTACAATGAAGGTTCTCGGGATCAAACCTGAATCCTCTTGCAGAGCAGCCAGTGCCGTCAGCTGCTGAGCCATCTCTCCAGCCCTTTAAAGAATGTTTTTAAATTAGCCTTTAGAAACCAAAATTGCTTTGGAATCGCAGAATGAACATAATGTCCTCAGAATTGTTTATTGTGCTGGGGATTAAAACTAGGGCCTCCTGCATGCTAAGCCTGTGTCCTGAGCTTGGGGCCACAACTGTCTGTAACTGTATTTCCACAGGGTCTGACATCCTCTTCTGGCTTCTTTGGGTCCTGAGCACATGTGTGTGTTCATAATGGAAGCAACACTTACTCATGCACATTAAAAATAAATATTTTGAAGTAAATCATTGAAGAACATAAGTGAGCACCTACCCTCTCTCCTTGGCTCCCACTCCTGTGAGAATAAATCTGCCTCCTGCCACTAGGATCCACAGTCAAACTTTTGACCTGTAGGTGGCAGCAAATACTCGTGACACTTGAGCAAAGCCACCAGGGTGGCAGCATCTGAGAAGAATGAACAGAAGTCTCAAGAAAAGAATTCTGAAATGTGTGAACTCCTCGTCCTTATGTTTTTAAAAGGCATTGTGTCAGGTCTTGTTGTCTGATGCTTTCACAGTGCTTGGGTCTTGCAAGTAGAAAGGGGATTTCTCACCCACTAGCAAGTGTTCAAAAGGAACATAAAGAATTTGGAAAGGTGGACATTTCTAGAAAGGGCTGACTGTAATTAAACATCTATTATACTTTCGCTGGTCATGGTGGTATGTGCCTTTAACCCAGCACTCAGGAGGCGGGGGCAGCTGGATCTCTGAGTTCCAGAAAAGCCAGGGCTACATAGTGAGACCCTGTCTCAAAAAAAGGAAAATAAATAAATAAATAAATAAAAAGTTTATATTATACTTTTCTATCAGCTCTTCTCATGGTTGAAAAGACACCTGTTTTTATTTCCTGGACAGCTTTAGGTTCTGTGTCATTTGCTATCTGTGTATGTGTGTGTGCGCGTGTGTGCGTGTGTGTATTCGTACATAGTGCATGCATGGAGCCCAGAAGGCCAACACTGAGCTATATCCCAAGCCCTACAACAGATATTTTTTCAGTAGAGAATCATGGAATTTGAAGTGTTTAAAGGAGCCAAGTATGGTGGTACAAGCTTTTAATCCCAGCTCTCTGGAGGCAGAGACAGGTGGATCTCTGAATTCCAGCCTGGTCTACCTAGCATTTAAGCCAGCCAGGGTTACACAGTGAGATACTGTCTCAAAAAAATAATAATTAAAATAACAGCTTTATTGAGAAAAAAATCATGTACCATGTGATTTATCTATATAAAGCATAAAACTGAGTGGATTTTAGTACGTTCACCTTTAGGTGATTTTTTGCCAAGTTGTAGATTTATTGTTTTACATTCTGAGGATAGGAAAGTCCCAATGGTCTAAGAGAGACCTGAACTGGGAAATCTGGTTTACTAGTTCAGGCTCTGCACTCTTGTGAGCTAGCCTTTGGCATCTCACCTTTGAAATGCAAAGACTGAGCAATTCATTCAGAGACTCAAAACCAGCCAAGTTTCCTCTCTGCATGCTGAAGGAATAAAAATTAAGAACAACCTCCGCCCCAATCACTTGTCCTGAGAGGCCACAGTCCAGCAGGTAGACGAGGCTCCAGCCCTCGTGGCTTGGAGCAGTCACCTGCCTTGGTGTTTGGATGGGAACATTTGTTGGGAGCCTGGCATTTCAGGACTGCACAGCTCCAACTTCTCGAGGCTAAAAGTTACTCTGCACTCCAAGTGGTCTCTGCTTGTCACTGTGGTATACTGCAGCCCCTGGTGTGACCCTGTCTTCTTTCCCTGGCTTGAAAGGTACTCACAAATCTCCCCTTTGAAAGACCCTTCAAGCGTCGCCCTTCCTCCCTGTGTTGGGATTGCTAATGCTGTCTGGGCAGTCCAGGTTGGAGAATTCCCAGTAGGTACAAACAGCTATTCACAAATCCGAGGGCTTTCTTCTTTTCCCAGGCCTCTCTGGCAGGGCCCCAAGCCTTCACTGCCTTTTCACTCTGAACAACAAATAACAGTGCTGCAGAGACGAGGTCCTGGTTCACCTTTCGTTGGAGAACCAGATCCGCACATTTTCCCCTTGAGTAAGGATGCTTTTCTTTTCACTCTCTTAACCTCAAATAGCAAGCAGACAGCTCTCGGACAACTCAAGCAGAGCGGCCTTCTTAGAGAACAAGTGGTATTTTGTTAACCAGGAAAAGACGCCCAGGGTTATTCATTTCTTTGCATCGTTTAGTTATTCACATCCCAAAATAGCTTCTGGTTTCACTGGGTTTCTGTAAAAGCCACAGAAGTATACACAAAAGAGGTTGTGACACTATTAAGAAGGACCTGGTAAATGAGGGTAAGAATGGGAATGTAGGTGTCGAGGAGCATCATGGGACAAATCAGGAGCTGACAAGACCTGGTCTGTTTTCCTAGAGGTTGTACTCCTGGGTCCATGATTTCATATGGAATGCAAGGCTTGAGAGAGCTAGGGAATAAGGCGAGTGAGATGATGGCTCAGTGGGTAATGGACAAGTTTGATTTCTTGAACTATGGTAGAAGGGGAGAACAGACTCCCTCTCTCTTTCACACACACACACAAATGAAAAATTATTAAAAAGAAAATTAGGGAATGAGCATAGGAGTTTAGGAGTTATTTTAGAACCTAAAAAAGGGGGCACTGGGGTATAGCTAAGGGATAAGGTGCCTGGTATGTAGAAAACCTGGGTTTAATCCATCCTTAGCACTGAGAAAAAAAAAAGTTTTGTTTTAACCATCTGTCAAGATGAGAATTACATCCCTGGCTGCCTCCATGAGGAAAGCGCCATAGAACTTGGTCTGCCTAGCGTAGGCTTCCTACGCTTCTCCCTCGCTTCTGTTGCTGCTTCATCACACAGCCTTTGACGGTCCTAGCTGTTGTTTACTCTTTCTCCATGAGAGGAAGGATACTAAGCTCAGCACGTGTTGAAAGGCTTAATTAAGGACTGTTACTTTCTGAAGAGGGTGGAAGAGGTGGTGTTGAATCAGGTGGCTTTGCCTCACCCTCTGTACCTGAGCTTGTATGCTATAAATATTCCCACCTTGGGTAGCACACACCTGTAATCTCAGCACTTGAGACAGAGGGGTGAATCAGTGACACAAGTTCTAGGCTGGCCTGAGCTACATAACAAGACCGTATCTCCAAAATCAAAGAGCCAAGCATGATGGCACCCGCCTTTAATCCAACCCTCAGGATGCAGAGGCAGGAGGATCTCTGATTTGAGGCTAGCCTGGTCTACATAGCAAGTTCCAGGTCAGCCAAGGTTACGTGGTGATACCTTCCTTGTCTTTAGAAAAAAAAAAAGAAAAGGAAGAAAGGAAGGTAGATTGTTTGGCTCATTTTCAGGGCTCTCTTAGGCCTGCCTAATTAAAACATGAAGATAAACTTTTATTAGTGCAGAAAAGAAAAGAAAACAAAACAAAACAAAAAACCCTAAAAAGGTAAAATCAAAGAAAGTCATACTGTGTGCAAGAAAACCAGAAAGGCTCACCTTGGCCTGGGCTTATGTGCAGTGTCTCTTTCCATCTTCCCAGCAAACTGACGGGATTCATGGTAAGGCCATCTTATTGCTCAGGATTATGCCTGTTGTTGTGAAGGCAGAAAGCGGCAGAGCTAGGACTTGCAAGATCTCTGCTAACCACGGTGTAGATTTTAAAACTGGGTCTCCAAGCAGGCCAGCTGCTGTGTGGCAGTGCACTTGGAGCCAACAGGAAACAACTCCTGCTGTGTCGGAAGCAAAGGCCCTTTTATTGAGCAAAGCAATGGTAGCGTAGTGGTGGCTGCGGATTTGTGTCACACCCAGCCCTTGTGGGTGATAGATTTGTATCTGGATTTGAGTCCTGCGAAGTAGCTGGTCCCAGGCTTACCTGGGTGGTGCAGTACCTCATCGTCACTCCAGACAGCCTCAAAACCCAGTCTGTGTCTTGCCAGTATTTCTCTCTATTTTTATTCATGTGTATGTGTGAACGCCAGCCTGTGGAGGCCAGAAGAGGAAGTGAGATCCCCCAGAGCTGGAGTTATAGACAGTTGTGAGCCACCTGATAGGGGTGCTAGGAACTGCATCCTTTGGAAGAGCAGCCAGTGCTCTAAACCACCGACCCCTATCTCCAGCCCCATGATTGTTCTTTTATAGCTGATTTTGTTTCTTTTTACTTAGTCAAGTATAAATCTACGTATCTAACAATAATAAAATGAAACATGAATTACCCAGGTTACATGCGGACAAGAAGAGAGTAAATTCTAAATAAAGAAATAAAGTGCCATCTTCTGCTAGCACAGTCAGTGAAAGAATAATGAAAAACAAAATTTAAAGTGTAACCCCTCCCAGGACATCTGTTCCTTTCCAAAGCCTGTCGTGAGTTTATTTAAGAATATTAGGGGCTGGAGAGATGGCTCAGTGGTTAAGAGTCCTGACTTTCTTGCAGAGGATCTGGGTTCCGTTCCCAGCGACCATTGGGGACATTCTGACGCCCTTCCAGCCTCTCAAGGCACAGCACACACACTGCATGTACTGATACACAGGCAAAACGCTCATACACATAAAATAATTTTTAAATAAGAATATTAATTTTGTCTTCCATGAACTGATTTTTTTTTTTTTTCTGTGTCACAATTTCTCTGACTTTGACATTCAGCAGGAGGCTCTGGGGTTTCTTGTTAGAGTCATGATGGCTTTGAGTCGCTGGGCAAATGGTCGATAATGGGGTCAGTCAGTGTCCGAGCTGCAGAGCCTCTGCAGTGCCACTCCTGAACAACCTGCTTTTTCCAGGTGAAGATTGTCTCAATGAATGAGAACATGGCCCTTCGATCTGCCATGGATAAAAACCTGAAGAGCGCGGTGACCACCGCCTGCCTCATGCTGCCAGAAAGCTTCTCGGAAGAAGACCTCTTCATAGAGATTGCTGGCCTCTCCTACTCAGGTTAGTGCAGCACACACCAGACCATCCCCGGGGAGGCGCCCAAAGAGTTTATGGGACCATCTCTTTTCTTCCCCAGACAGCTGCTGTACAGTTGAGGCGCGGCCCAGGCCTGTGTGTGGCTGACCAGGGTGTGGGTGGCAGGTGCTCCTCCAGGGAGCCCAGTCTGAGAACCACTGCCCCCCCCCCCCCCGTGTCCTCTACATGCACAGCTGCACCACCAGTGTCCTCTTCAGGCTCCATACCCTGGCTTATGTTGCCTGAAACCAAGATTCTCTTCACGCTGGCCTCATTCCCTGCCCCGTGTGACGTGTATGTGTGAAGCTGACGCACATAGCTGCTGCTGCTCACCCTGTCCTCAGCCGCCACCGTGGACTCCCTTTCACTCTACTCATCAACGTACCAGTGATAGTGCCGCGGCCCCTCGGTCCGCTCTTTCCGCTCTTCTTCCTCCGCCAGTGACTTATTTGTGTTCTGTCTAAATGCTCACTTCATTTTCCGTTCAGCCAGTGTGTCCCTCCATCTTGGCAAAGCACCCCCTCCCAGGAGGGAGTCAGGAGGGCAGCTAGGGACAGAGCCCCAGTGTCTCACCCTCACCGCAAGGGGATGTCACAGTCCCCTGTTCAGGGCGGTAAGGTTCTGTGCAGGCTTTCCTTTCCCGGGAACGACATGCTGTTTTCATCCGATCCCAACACCGCATGCACACACAGATCGTACCGGCAAAATGATGCTTCTAAAAAAAGTGGTCTCTGGCCAGCAGGTGGCTCAGTGGGTAAGGGCGTCTGCCTCAGAGCTTGATGGTCTGAGATCCTCATGGTGGACAGAGAGAACCAATTCTGATGAGTTGTTCTCTGACCACTCCCCCCCCCACACACACATACACAAAAGGGAAAAAAAAAAGAAACCATAAATTAAAATGTAGGATTTTTGTTTTATTATGTTTTTAGTTTGAGGGCTGAGAGTATAGCCAGTGGCAAAGTGCTTAAGTCACACAAGCAAGGCCCTGGGTTCAATCCCCACAACCACAAAAAGAAAAAAAAAAGTTTTGAGAAGGGCTCCCTTAAGAAAATACCCTGTTATCCAGTGTTTAACTCAAGGAACCCTGAATGCACAGCAGTGGTGAGCTTATTCTCTGAAGCCCAGTGCAGATAAGATTCCGTAGAAATGCAATGCTGGGAGGGACTCTGGAGGTCTTGTTCTCCAGTCTTTTTCCTAAAACGTGTCCATCACAGCACAGCTGTAATTGCAGCTGGAGAGGGGAAATGGGCTCAGCTCAGCCTTGGCTGTCTCTCGCTTTACCTGGCAGCATCCCGCCCCCATGAGAGCACAGAGGCAGAGTGGTCTGGCTGTACACCACAGGAAGAGGCCTGGGAGACGAGTGGGAGAGAGCCTCTTACTAGCCCAGCTTCCTCCTCCAGACTCTGTGCTGGAAAGAAGGGCCTAAGTCCTGTCCCCTGTGCCTGGCTGACTGTGGGCCAATGCATGACTCCTGTTTTTGGCCCACAGCATTTGCAGTCACTATTGTTCCCATTAAATGAGTGTCACTGTCAGGCTGGGTGGATTCTGGGAATAGCTACTTATAAATGCTGAGCCTTGACTGAGGTTCATCAAAGTATGTAACAGTTTTCACCTACTTACGGAATATTTTTGTGTGTGTATGCCATTGGGAATAGAGCCCAGGGCCTCCAGCCTGCTGAACACTGACTCTAACACTGAACCCCAGGTTCTGAGATTCTAAAAAAATATTTGTTTGGAGACAAGGTCTCCTGTAACAGCAGCTGGCCTTGAACTTGCTTTGTAGTTGAGAATGAGCTTTAACACCACCTACTTCTACCTCATGGGATTACAAGTAGGCACCTACCTCTATCTCTTGGGATTACAAGTGAGCACCGCTGTCTCTGGCCCCTCATTTTCTTAAGTAAATCTTCAAACTGCCCAGAACCTGCAGCTGGTTTTTCTTCTGGAACTAAACTAGTGAGCGGCAGGAGGACCCAGCTGTACAGAAGACCTCATCATGGACTGCCTCAGGCAGTGTGTTGGCGTGTTCAGTTTCCTCCTGTCCTTCCTGGGCTTCTGAGAACCCAGTGTCCTTCAACTGTTCAGTTTCGATCCCTTTGGCAAAAACCCAAATCTCCCCAAGTTTTCAGAACGTTCCAGCATTCAAATTGCCCCATTTTATAAGTCTTCCAAGTTGAAAGCTGTGAAGTTTAATGTTTTTCCTGGGGGTGGGGGAAGCTCAGCCAGTGTTAGCAGGAATAGTAATGAGCCCGCCCAGTTTGTGTGGCACTGAGGACCACTTTGCTTGCTGCATTCACATAAATGGCAGGCAAGGAAGGAGTAGGTAGAACAGAAAGCCCTTAGGTAGTTCTGACAAGTGACCAAAGAGAGACTCCTAATGAATGATGGGATTACCTTGGGCTTTCTTATTAACATGACTAGTTTCCGGCAAAGGTCCTGGCATAGCATTCATCAGGCCATTCAGTATCCCTGCCTTAAAAAGCTGAGATAGGATTCTGCCGCATAGGGTCAGAGAGACAGCCCAGCTCATCCCACTTCTGTGGAGGACCCAAGTTTAATTCCCAGAACACACAACCACCTATAACTCCAGCTTCAGGGCCCAACACTCTCGATGCCAGAGGCAACAATCATGCATGTGTGTATACACACAAAACTAAAATAAATCTTTATGAAAGAAAAATACCAATGCATGAAACAGACAAGGGACTGTTTGGGAGGAAATCAGCTGGGTGCCTGGAGCCCAGCTGGGTGCCTTATGATGGGGAAAAAAATGTAATTATTGTGCAACAGGAACAACCGCCAGTAATTCCAGGTGTAATAACTAATCCAGCAGTGACTTTTCATTTGGGTATGGTGCTGTTGCCCCACTCTACAGACGCAGGAACTGAGGCTCATAGGGATTACCAGTCTGATACCCCTCATCTAATAGCTGGTAGCTTTTCTGTGGGTACGCAACCCTTTCAAAGTCCTCCCTCCATTTTTTGTTTGGAGAACAGAAATATGTACTATAAAGACGATTCCAGTGAGCTAATACAACGCTACACTGACTCTCTCATTGATGGCTGCTGCTCAGAAAACGACTGCTGTTATGTCTAGTTATTTTTATGGGCTGTAGAGACTTCTTGAGGCTTGGGCACTGTGCTTACTCCCTCAGTCAGTGGTTGACACTTAGCTCTCTTCATCATTGTTATGGATAATACTTGCAAGTCCATTTGTATAAATTACTGGGCAGAAAAGGGCAAAGGGGCCACTGATTACCTTATATCTCCAGGCTGGAGCTGAGCTGTCAGTCACAAGTCCTACACACATGCTGGTAGAGTTAAGCAATGTTAAGCGAGCTCTTAGACCACAGGGTTGGTGGCCCCCATTTTTTCTAGCTCTTTAGGTCTAAGGGATAACAAGACTATCAGGTGCTTGTGTGCAAGAGAATGGGCTGCCTTCAGTGCCAGAGCTGAGGGGAAGACCATAACTGATGGGCATTCCACACAGCCAAGAAAGGGGCCGCTTTGTGTGGCCTTCACCTCCAGGGCCTGGCCAGGCTCACGGGTGACAGGACCCCAGCTTGGGCTGCAGGGGTGCAGTGGCAGCTTGTGGGCTCCCCCTCCCACGATCACTCTGTCCTGTGCCTGAGTCTTTTAGTCCTGGGGTTACAAACCATGGGTCCCAGCTGCATTTGTGTGCTTAGATCCACGGCTGCTGAGTACTGCGCTAAGGTTGGGCCCGGAAGCTGATCCCTCAGGGAAGGAGAGGCCGTGGGTCTTCTCCGGTCACCCTCTGCTAGGATACAGACCTCTGACCAGTGCTGGCACCCCAGCTTCTTCTTTGCTTTTATTCTGTTTCACCTTCTGGTCAGACACAGGCATGTATCTTAATTTTTTGGCTTATCTTTAGCCTTTGTTTCAGCCATTAGTATGAGGCCAAAAAAGTGTTTTTGTCATGCGTGTATGTCCAGCACACTCTGCAGATGCTGGACCCTTCCTATGCTTGCCAGTTACACCTGACACCTGAGCACCAGGTGCTCACCGCATCTGAGGATGGGCAAACAGTCCTGCCTGGCTTAAACTGTAATTTGAGCCTGGTCCTTCGTTCCTCCCTGTGCTCAGCTGTGCTGCATTTGTGTGAGGTGGAAAGGGAAATGTGTCTGTCAGCATCCTCTTAGCATTTTCTGCACTGTCAGTCAGCACAGAATAGAGTCCTTTCTGCAGCTAGAGGAAAACCTTCCAGAGTAGCATTTGGGCCACCTCCTGAAAACACTGCCTTAGTCATTTCTATTACAATAAACCTGTGCCCACTCACAGAAGCATGAAATTGGGCCTAAGTCATACCGTATACAAAATGAATTCAAACTGGATCCTTGACATAAGAGTTAATGTACAAGCTACAACTAAAACTTTTAGAAAGACTTGGAGTTATGAAATGGTTTCTGAGATTATACCAAATGCTAAAATGACAAAGAATTAAAATAAAACAAAAACAGTTCATCCTTCATCTTAGCACTCAGAGGCAGGGGGATTGTTCGAGGCCAGCCTGGTCTACAGAGCTAGTTCCAGGACAGCCAGGACTACACAGAGAAACCCTGTCTCAGAAATCAAAACAATGGTCTGGAGAGATGGCTCAGTGGTTAAGAGCACTGGTTGTTCTTCCAGAGTTCCTCAGTTCAATTTCTGGCAACCACATGGTGGCTTACAACCATCTATACTGGGATCTGATGCTCTCTTTTGGCATGTAGGTATACATGCAGATAGAGCACCATACATTAAATAAATAAATGGAAAAAAAAATGAATGTACTGTAAATAGTGTCATCCTAAGAGGTGAAAAGACAAGAGTTTCATAAATCACATTTTTGAGACCAGACCCGTGTCCTTAGAATCCCAGCAGAAATCACCCTAATTAAAAGCAGGCAACACCTAGGGATGGGCACATCTTTGGGGAAGAAGTGTGATGTTCCAGCAGCATATAGATGCCCCCGTCCCAGCCAATCAG